GAGAGAGAGAGAGAGAGAGAGAAAACGCGAGCTCCGCGCCGAGTTCGCGCGAGTTTTACTGGCTGCCGTTTTCCGCGTCGACGACCCGCCGCGTCGCGCGCGTGTTTTCACGACGGACCGACGACGGAGCGAACGCGCGCGTATTGGACGATGACTAGGTCGAAATTCCTGACAGCTGACGCGAGGTACCGCGCTGCCGCGTACCAAGTCACTCTTCCCGACGCGCGCGTCACTTTGGGACACGCTCTGTCCCCTAACCGCTGCTGTTCGGATAACTGCAATGCTCGTCTCCGTTTTAAGAGCAGCGAAATTTTTCCAGAATTTTTTTGAAGTTGACTCGACTTTCTTTTTACTCGCGGAAACTTTGAAGTCATCTCTCGTTGCCGCATTCTTTGATGCGCGATATATATATATCGCGATATTCATTACGTTGCGAGTCGCGTGTATATTTAAAAGGTATTTTCGTAATCCCGGATGCACGAAGAGACGAGAGACGAGCGACGTGCTCAAGATCGTAGGAGGAAGATTTTGAGGGAGTTTTGACGCAGTTCGTGCACGACGTTATATGCATTGTATTACAAAAACGTAGAACTTCACGTTCTCTCTCTCTCTCTTTCTCTCTCCGTACTGCAATTTCCGCGTAAAGTTGCGAAAATTTACGTAACGGGTGTCGACTTTCTTTTGACGCTGGCTCGGGCCATTTCACCTTCGCTTTGAGCAGAACCAAGTAGATATACCTTTCGACGCCTGAGGCGACATAAATAATGGCGTCTCTATGACACAACACTCTTTCTGATCTGACATTAAAAATATCTTTGAAATATCTTGCCCCGATAAAGTAGAAAAATGACATCTAAATTGAATGCGGCGCCACAGAATAATTATTTTTCTATTATCTTTTCGTTATAAGCTCTTAACGCTCGTTAAACTTATTGTTAGATATTAAGTGGAGCGCGATAATTGCCGACAGATTATACTTCAAATAAGTTGCATAAAAGTATTTTACTTCGAGCAAAAATGTAAATTTATAATATATACATGTATATTACACACACATACGCACATATATGAAGAATGACCTGAAAATTCGCCCATTTTTTGGATCCTCGATTTTAAGACTGAACTGCGTACCAAATAATTGCCTTATAATGAAACATTAATTACAGAGAAATTTCAAGTTGAGGTGACAATTGTTATCAGAGCTGGACGAGGAGGGATGAAATCAAAGTTCATATCATGAACTTGTCACACACAGTTAAAAAATTTGTGTTAAATTAAAACATCTTACATGGTCCACTTAAATTTTTGTGTTAATTTAACGTAAGATGAATATATTAAAAAGTAATAACATTATATAACATTATATAAAAATTAACACACAAAATGTAACATTTTAGTATAATTTGGAAACAAATTGTGGAAACATCATTCTTCAGTAAAATTAACACTTATAGCATGTAAAATTAACAATTTTATTTATTTTTTATTCATTTATCTTAGAATTTACAGTTTAAAACTACTTTATTTTTATGTTACTTATTCACTTGTAAATTATATTATTTTTTGACACTGAGAAATATTGAATATTAATTTAACACAAAATAATTAATTAACATAATCACATTATGTTAATTTAACAAGCAAATATGTTAAAAATTTGACACAAAATTTTAACAAGAACGTGAGTGGACCGTTTTTGACATAAATACAAAAACGTTTTTTACTGTGCAGGTCTGTGAGGTTTGGTATTTTAAGAAGGTTGATCCAATCGATGAAGATTATCGCAGTTTTACGTAAATGACGCTCGTTTTGGATGTAAAACAATCGAGTTTTCGCGTAAAGAGACGTAATACGTGACCTCCCCACTCCAGCTGTGATAACAATTGTCACTTCAACCTGAAACTTCTCCGCGATTAATAAATAATATCTCATTATGAGGTACCATTTGGCACACAGTTCAGTCTCAAAATCGAGGGCCCAAAAAAACGGACGAAAAAATTATCTTTTTTCGGGTTACTTCTTCTTAGGGAAATTTCGTAATTAATTAAGGTCATGTCAAAAGCGTCTTTTGCCAGTTGAGTGATCGTGCCTTTTCTCGTTCCGCCAGGGCGAAATCGGACACAGGACGATAACTGGGGCCCCCAGGACCACCAGAAGATGGGCGAGCCTCAGACAACATGTGAGCAGCAGTAATGACGGCGGTAAACCTCGCGTCGAACTGCTGTTTAATACGTCGGGCTCCAAACCCTCGACGCCGTCCTCGCAACCGCACACCCCTAACACACCGAAAACGCCGCACACCCCGCCCATCAAGAAGTCCAATTGGGAGGTCATCGAGCACTTCACCGGCGCGCCGCGTCCCTCCATCATCACGGTGAGTGTCACCTTTGCGCTCTATCGAGTGTGTTATCGCATTCCGGGATAAATGTCACCGTGACTACGACCGCCAAATAAAAAGCCTTATATTTTTCAAGTTTTACATAAAAAAATATAGTTGTACATAAATCGTAGAATGCTCTTGAAAATTAGAAATGCCAGAGGAGTAATGAAAAACTCGCAATTAATGCTATAGTCTAAAAAGAGATGAGTGCAGCCAATTTAATTAGCATAAATTAAAATAAAATTATAATTATATTTGCGTGTGGACATATATTTTAAAAATTAAATTAATAAATTAAAATCAACACCCGTGTCGCGCGCGCGGCTCGATAGGCATTACTTCGATACATATTCGATTTATTCTTACGAGTCTAATTTCTTTAATTTATAAAATTATAAATTGTAATATTAAAATACGATAAGAATTGTAGTATATATTGCAGTGTGCATTCTTTAAAAATAGTTGTAAACTTGAGTTTTGTAAGAAGAAATAAATAATTACGTGGAATTAATTATATTTGTAACTTCATGCACATGCACATTGCATTATTTATTGAGTAATTGTATCGTGGCGCTAATTAATTTTTCAAATGATTGAATAATTGCAAATGAATATTTATAATTAGCGAATTGGGAGGAACGACAATAGCTGATAGATGATTAATGTTCAATATCGCAGACAATTAATTGCAATTAATGTAAATATATTTATGTACTTTCTCAACGTTTATTAAATTTTATTTGTTATATAATTACGTAGGTTTATGTATTATATAAAAAAATGTGATAGATTTTCATTTCAAAATAGTTTTTTTTCAAGACTCATAAAATTAACATACGAAATTATTATTAATTTTAAGGAACTTGAAGAAAAGGCTGATATTCGCAATTTGCTGAGATTTTTGTAACTAATAATTAAATTACCTTAATTAATAAATAATAATTAACAACTAAGCAATAATTGAATTGAAGAAGAATTACATACAGAGATTGGAAGTAACTTGTTACTTATAAGGTCGTTACCGTTACAGTTACTTTTTTTGATAACGGATTGGTAACGGCGTTTTATTTTTTTAGTAACTGTAACGGTAACGTAGTTACATTTTTTCGGTAACGGTAATGAATTATACAGTTACTTTTATTGTTACTTTTTGTATTTTAATCTTTTTGTATTTATGACAAAATTTTCGTATATCTATTCAATCTTCAGTTTTAGCTAGTATTCACATCATTTACTCTTATTTTAAGACTGCTTTAAATAATGTCTTAAAATATTAATATGGCTCTGTAATTGGTTTACGACATCTTAAGAATACCATAAGTCAATCAATATTACAAATTAAACTGACAAGTAATTTAATAAGATATTTTTACGTTATATGTATCTTAAAATACTTTAAAAAATTTATTGTAAAAAATATCAGCTGAATTATGTTTCAAGAATGAAAATTTAATTGGGGCGTAGTTTGTAAAATTGGATATGTATATAAATTTATTTTCAAATATTAAGCACGAAGCTGGAAGCTCTAGCTCATATCGAAAAAGCTTTCTTTTTCTTACAATTAGTTGTATTTTTATATGTCGGTCTGGTGTTATTGTTGTATTGCTTTTATTAATATTAAAACAAAAAATTGCATCTTAAATTATTTAGACTGATTTTGTTTCAGAATGAAAAAAGTAACGGAAAAGTAACGGTAATGATAACGAGTCATTTTTAAAAATCAGTAACTACACAGTAAAAAAACGTTTTTGTATTTATGTTAAAAACGGTCCACTTACGTTCGTGTTAAAATTTTGTGTTGAATTTTTAACATATTTGCTTGTTAAATTAACATAATGTCATTATGTTATTTAAATATTTTGTGTTAAATTGATATTTAATATTTTTTAGTGTCAAAATAATAGAATTTATAAGTGAATAAATAACATAAAAATAAAGTAGTTTTAAACCGTAAATTCTAAATCAAATGAATAAAAGATAAATAAATTAGTTAATTTTACATATTACAAATGTTAATTTTACTGAAGAATAACGTTTCCACAATTTGTTTCCAAATTGTATATAAACTGTTACATTTTTTGTGTTAATTTTTATATAATGTTTCTATTACTTTCTAACATGTTCATCTTGCGTTAAATTAACACAAAAATTTGAATGGACCGTTTGGGACATGTAAAATGTGTTAATTTAAGACAAATTTTTTAACTGTAGTAACGGTAACTAGTTTTTTTTTAACTCGGTAATGAGTATAACGATAACTCGTTACTTTTAAAAAGTAACTTTCCATTCTCTGGTTACATATTACGAGTACGATCCTAATATTTTCTGCAAGTCCTTCGACAAGGCATATCATTATCCGTGGATAATGTAACTTTCGCCATTGGCGAATGTTACCTCGTTACCTCGGACAGTCGGGGTAAAATTTCGAGCATCTGCGAGAAAGAGTACGTTCTCTATTAAGCCGCGCGCGTACATGTGATCATATATGAGTGATATACGCCCGATGCGGCGTACACGCGCGCATCACGTTTCTCCATTACCGCGGTCGAGTCTCCGCGGCAGCCAGGCAGCTACGAATCGCTGAACAAAACGAGGAAACGGGAAACTGTGAGGAAAGGCGAAACCACTTTGTCAGATATCCCTTTCCCCTTTGATGCGTTCGCTCGATTTTCAAGGTGGAGGCGCGACGTACGTCGTGCATTACATCGCACGGATATATACCTACGTTCCGGTATTGAACTTTGCCAATAAAGAGTGTCCGACTCCCCGGCTCGGTATGAACCCCGTTTGACTCCTCGGTCGTGTTTCTACCCTCGCGTACCCAGCCACATCAAGTTCGCGCGGCGGGCGAGATTTTGTTTATTTACGTTATTTATCGTGCCGTAATTCACGAGTAATTGTTGACTATACGTGTTACCTTCATCAAAATTGCTATTTTGCGCGACGAACCGTTGAAAATTAACGGCACAATCCACGGCGTAAACACATTAACGGAGTTGGGGTGTATAGAAAAAAAAGTCGCGATATCGTAGAAAACAGAACGGATAAATAAATCGTAATAATTTCCCGACAACACGGCGGCGCGTACGTTTCGTGTATGTGTTTCACGTGTTTCATGATCTCTCTTTCTCTCTCTCTTTCTCTCTCTCGGAATGGGCGGAATTATCGCTATACGGAAACTGCTCGCGACCGACGTATGTACAAACAATCGCGCTGGGGGTAGGCAACGATTATCGTATTACGGGCAAACACCAGCAAACACGTCCGCTGCCTATACAGTGTGTGCCTTTCGTTAAATCACATTTATGCTCCGCGTGCGCCGTACTGTTTGCGCGACGAATCGTGACGCAGAGATATATACTACCGCGGGTATCCCGAAATTAACCGAAACGTGAACGGCACAACGTTTGGGCGCGACGAAATTTGCATTCATGTTTTTTTTTATTAACGTCAAATATACACTTTTCCGATATGTTTAAAAGTCCGCAGTGAATATTTATAATTAACGCCTATCCCAGCAAACACATCTGCAGATTTATAGCTGCAGCAACGTTGTAACATTCCAGCTATATTGCAGAAATATTACAATGTTGCTGCAATATTGTAGTTATAATATGTATTTGCTGGGATTTCACACTATAATAACGATTCGAATATCCGTTTCTTTGTCTTCAGCGATTAATTCCTGAAACATCGTTTACTTTTAATGATTTGTAGTGAAAATTGTGAAAATTATTTACGTCTTAACATGAATAATAATAATAATAATAATAATAATAATAATAATAATAATAATTGGTCGAAGAATTTTTGAAATTATCAGGACCGCGATATACAATTTGATTTCCGTAATCTAGTTGTACTGTATTAATTATTAAACAATATTATTGGTTATAAAAGTCTGCTTGCGTAAATCATGAATATATTGTATGTTTTGGATTTATTAAAATTAAGAAGATATTCTTTTTAATGTACCTATTTTTTTTCGATATTTCGACGATATTCTGTATAATGTTCCTCGAGGCCTGATCATCGTCAACCTGTTTGCAGATGGCTCGAGGATCGGAGATCGGCGTGGCACCGACAACCGGAAGGGAGTCCGTGACGGAAGCTGCAGCGAACGTAGGGATCACGCAGCACACGCGGAAATGCGCTCTGAGCAGATTCCTGAGCTCGCTATGTGGCTCTCATCATTTCAAGAACCTGCAGGTAGGAGTGGCAATCGTTTTCCGCCGCGCGCATTCATCTTTTCCCATCCCTTTTTTTCTCTCTCTCTCTCTCTCTTTCGCAATTAATCGAATATCACGCTTTTAATGAGAGCTACCGGATACGTATCTGCATCGATCGCGGCCGATGCACCTAGCAAATATTGGCTGAATCCGATGTAGATTTGCATCAAAGTAGAAACGAGTCCGGGGCGTCCGGTACTCGTGTGTCTGACCACACACGGATGCATCTACTACTTACGTACACCTACTCTCTACGGACGGTTTTGTTTGAAGTTAAACGCGACGTCTCTATAAACCCGACGCTAAAGACATAATTACAGCACATTATAATTACGAATTAAAATTAAGTTAAATTAAAATTGCGCCAATGTGATTCTCATTAAATAATTATAATAAGTGCTTGCGTTTTTTTTTAATTAGCGAATTGTGTAAAATGGTTAATTTAATCGGTATTTCATTGTCAGTAGCACATTATTCATTATAATATCTTGATACTTTTTATACATATAATTATTAATCTATATAATATAGTTATATAAAAAGTGTATAATTTATATAATTATTAATATAGGTATAATTTTATATACTATATAATTCTATGTATGTTTTCATTATAAAGCGTATCAAATTAGTGATTTGTTAATAATAAAGATTGAGATTTACCTTTTCAACAGTTATCTCTTTGTAAGTTTTTTTTCTTATCTCTACAATAATTGACTTTAAGAAATAAACTTTCGCGATTTGCAATAAAAATATTTTATCTTCGTTACAACACGTAATTTCATGAAAGAAATCAAATTAGCTGCAGCACTTTTTATCTTAGCAATTTCTCAGCAATCTCGCTAATGATGTGATTTTTTGAGAAATCCGTTGCCGACAATGAGAAGCCCGCTGATAAAAGCTCAGAGTGTCTCCAAGCTGACGGTAGTGACATTCCTCGTCAAACTCTTGTCATGCAAATCAATGGTGCTATCGGAAATTAATCTAAGTTCGTCATGCGGAGGCGCGCGCGAGCGAGCGAGCGAGCGAGGCGCGTCGGCGCCGCCGATTGACGTGCGTCGCGATGCGTAGGAGTAGTGATACACGTCAGACTTGGCAAACTCAGGCAAGCCGGAGAGAGAGAAAGAGAAAGAGAGAGAGAGAGAGAGAGAGAGACAGACAGAGAAAGAGATAAAGATAAAAAAAGAGAAAGAGGAAAAAAGAGAAGCCTTTAACTGGGAGAATAAAATTTCGCGCAACAAGTTTCGACGGTTGGCCTCCGGTCTCTGTACCGTGCCGTAAGTCCCGAAATACAATAGATGTCGTAAGTCTTAAAGACCATCTACAATGAGAGTAGTAAGTCGTAAGTCGTAAGAAATTAACCAATCATAGTCGATTATTCTTCTTACAATCGACTATAATTGGTCAACTTCTTACGGCTTACGACTTACTACTCTCATTGTAGATGGACCTTTTAGCCGTGATAAAAGGACCAATCGCAGTTGAATGTGAAAAGAATAATCGATTGCGATTGGTTAATTCTTACGCGGCTTAAGGCTTTTACGACATCTGTTGTGTTTCGGAACTAAAATAGCACGAGGAAAATAGATTCACGACAGTTTCAGAGCCGAAACTGCGTGAGTCGCGTCCTCACCCCCCCCTCCTCTCACACACACTCTCTCTCTCTCTCTTCTACGAATCCAACGCACAAATTGTCTCTCTCCTCGTAGAACGCGTATGTGTCTCGGACACAACCGCGGTGTTTCGCGGTTAGATCGTCGGTTTTGTCCGATAGAAAATAGAACGCAGCTCTTGGTGAAGATACAACTGTTCGCGGTGCCTGCGAGGGCTGCGAAACACCAATGGCCCGGTGGCACACGAACGAAGCGGTGGTTGCGTTAGCCGGCCCTTTGGCCACCCGTAGGGGTTCGAGCAGAAATATATCGAAATGTCTCACCCGTCAGACGCAGAGCGAATGCCTCTAACAGGTGCTTTGATACATATGAAAATATCACGAAGGTGTTTTTAAAATACCGTACACGCGAGCACCGCTGTCGAGGAATACTCCAAGTAGTATTTATACTTTAGCGCTTGACGCGCGATATTTTATAACTATGAAATTGGGTCACTTTAAGCTGGACAACTGTCAAAATAATTAACTTGGAAATATCTGCACACCAAAAATTGTTATTTCTCTATAATGTTAATATTGAATTGATTGCGAAATCATGTGAAACTATTTAAATTAAATAATTTTGAAGTAATACGTACATTACATTTGTGTGTGTAATTCTTTCTATATTTATTTTGACGTATAAATGATTAAAAATCATTAAATAAAACTATTAAAAAATTTTGAATTTTTTTCTCCGTAGAAAATAAAAAGTGAAATGTGTTTAACTTAATTGTTTTTTTTTTACATGATACTTCTTAAAAAAAGCGAAGAAGATTTCTGTATTGCGCGTGATATTTTATAATTACGAAATTGGGTCACTTTAAGCTGGGCAACTGTCACAATAATTAACTTGGGAATATCTGCACACCAAAAATTGTTATTTCTCTATAATGTTAATATTGAATTGATTGCGAAATCATGTGAACGTGAAACTATTTAAATTAAATAATTTTGAAGTAATACATTACATTTGTGTGTGTAATTTTCTCTATATTTATTTTGTCGTATAAATTATTAAAAATCATTGAATGAAACTATTAAAAAATTTTGGCTTTTTTTCCTCCGTAGAAAATAAAAAGTGAAATGTGTTTAACTTAACTGTTTTTTTTTCACATGATACTCCTTAAAAAAAAGCGAAGAAGATTTCTGCATTGCATCACACCTAATGCTGAAAAATACCTTCAGGACTCAACTATCGGTTTTCCAGCAAAGAAAAACGACACTCAACGATTTATCTGTCACGGAATTTCTTCTACGACTATTCTCAAAAGTTTGATGCATCACTGGAAATGCATCAGATGCATTTTACATTTCACCTCGTCATTTCACATCGCTCTGCAGCCAACATAACTTTGTCACGTATCTTCGACTATCGTCGAGCTATATTAATTTTCATCGAAGAATAATTTTCTTACGCGAATCTCTACGTTCGTCTGTTGAGAATTGCGGAACATATATACATTGAAACGTAGAACTTGTATGTTAACATTAATAACATTAACTTAGAATCCGGATCTTGTGAATTTCATATAAGATAAACTGACGACGACTGGGATTCGCGTATCCAGATCGTTAAAGTTTGGCATGGGATCAATACCGTTATCCATTAACCATCGTGGCTTACTTGTATCCGCTTTATTGTGAGAAGTAGCTTAAGTAAATCCTAAAGTAAATTTATCTATTACCTCTAATCAATAAACATTACAGTAGCGTATCGACAGTTGTGTCTTCCTTCCTGCGCGTGTATATATATATATATGTAAAATCGATCTGTCTTCTTACAGAACGAAACTATAGCTCTTCCTCTGGTAGCGTTCGGCCGACGGATCATTGCATCAAATGAATTAATAACGTCAAGTAATAAACAAAAATTAACAAAATAATAATTAATAAATATAAAGATCAATAATAGCAAATCTATTAAAACATATATGTTTATATAAATTTATAGATAATTAAACAAAAAATTAATGCAGTCAAACCTCTAAAACTCAAATCTTAGGGGAAAAGAAAAATTCTTTGAGTTATAGAGTTTTCGACTTATCGAAATTCGAGTAAAAAAAAGTATGCTATACTTAATACTATAGTATTAAAATATGAAAATTCAACTTACGCGAGGCTTTGTACAAGTGTTTACAATTTTCCGATTACAATGATCCTTTTAAAGGAAAAAAATCAATATTTGACAATGAATTATTTATTCATACATATAATAAACGTAATCATAATATAAAATAAATATAATCATAGTATTATAAAATAATAAATGTAATATCATAAAACAAAATACCAGGCTATTACTCATGGCTACACATAGCTACAACTTCGAATTATAGAGGCAGCGACAATAAAAGTTCGACTTATAGAGGTGAACTTCGACTTGTAGAAGTTACTTTAAATTCGAGTTGCAGGGAAAATAATACATCTAAATACCTGACAAATAATTCGAGTTCAGGTAGGTTTTATTTCGATTTATAGAGAGTTTTTCCGCAGAGTGGAAAGGAATAAACAAAATTTTCGTTTTATAGAGATTTCCGAGTTGTAGAGGTTCGACTGTATAAAGGTCCATCTACAATGAGAATAGTAAATAGTAAGCCGTAAGAATTGACCAATCACAGTCAATTATTCTTCTCATATTCGACTGTGATTGATCAATTTTTTACGGCTTACGACTTACTACTCTCATTGTAGATGGACCTCAAAGATTTCAGGAGTGTGATTTACACCGCGATTAATGCAGAGATTGAAAAAAAATAGCCCCTAAAGTGGTTTTCCGTTCAGAAATCGGTACGGGTTTACGAGAGTCCGTGTATTGCACGTGGGAATTCAAGGGTGACGACCTGTGAATTCGAAAATTGGCTCGCGATTGTCACGGGGAACGTGACGGGATAACCGGAAAAATGGCGCGAATTACGATGTTTTTCGTGCGATTCCCGCGGGACCGACTTACATTGTCTGGTCACGTAGATCGAGAAGTGCTGGGGGCATCGGCAAGTCGATGGGGATAGTTCCTCTCCGTGAGCGTTTTTCACATGACACGCGGCCATTTGATTGCATTTCACTTCAACGATATTCCCGCGTCGCGATGCGTCGCGATATCTATGACGCGACGGTCGATTCGCCGTCATTTTTTCGTTCGAACGAGTAAAGTCCGAAGGGAGTCCCCGCTTCCCCCCCGCCCCAAGTCGTTCTAATACCATTTTGTTGTGCTGTCACATATACCCGATAAAATGAATGTCCTTATCGAGGCGTTAAAGGAAGACCGTGGTATAATAATGGGCGATATCGCGGCACGTTTTCGTGAATAGCACGACCGATACGGTCTC